GAAGATAAGGCCAGCCAGAGAGATGAATGGAGACGAGTGATATCTGCAATAGTAAACCTCAAGGGCTCAGAATGCTAAAGAAGATAACTATTCTGTGCTACTTTATGTGAAGTAAAAGTTCAGCGTTCATTTGACATTATGAATTTGTGTTTTTAAAATATATATATATTTTACACTATACACCATTCGTATTCGTATTCGGCCGAATAGTTGGTACCGCTATTCGTATTCGGCCGAATAATGAAAATCACTATTCGGTACAGTCCTAATTTTAAAAGCTTAGGAAACACTGCCGTATTCGTTGAAAAGCCGTGGTCTTCAACCCCGGGTGGGGCGGGGGGGGGGGGGTGAGTGTCATGGGGGGTCGTTAAGTAATTTTGAAGTGCAGTGCATTTATTTCTATCTTCTAACAATCAGGTTTTCCGGCTTTAACAGTCACGAAAACTAAACAACAACGCAGTCAGCTTGATAGGGAAAGTGATTTCCGTCACGCCGCGTCGATGACTAGATCAAAAATAACAGGTGTCATCAAGACAAAACAGTGTCTAGATCACAGTGATATTTGGACACTAAGTTACCAGTTGTTGATGAATGTTTCCTTTATCTGACACTGAAATATGTGCATGTTTTCTCCAGTTTCTTATAATATTACTCGGGATTCATCTTATTGTCCTGTTCTTTTTTAATCACATGTTGTTATGTGCTACTACTACAACTGCTACTACAACTACTGCTACTCCTGCTACTAGAACTACTACTGCTGCTGCTGCTACTACTGCTGCTGCTGTTACTGCTGCTACTACTAGTACTACTACTGCTGCTGTTGCGGTAGATGATACTGCTACTACTGCTGCTGATGACGATGACGATATTGATGATGATACTGCCACTACTACCACTACTACTGCATCTGCTACTACTACCACTACTACTGCATCTGCTACTACTACCACTACTACTGTATCTGCTACTACTACTACTGTTGTTGCTACTACTACTAGTAGTACTATTACTGCTGCTGCTGCTGCTGCTGATGATGATGATGATGATGATGATGATGATGATGATGATGATGATGCTGCTGCTACTACTACTACTACTACTACTACTACTGTTTGCTGCTGCCTCTACTACTACTAGCTGAGGGGGCGTCGGTGAGTGAGGTGGTCTTGTCATATACTCGGCAGCGCTACCTGAAACATGTTGAAGACCACTGGCGTAAAGAAACGCCATCAATTGAAATTGATCGATTCTGTGTTTTTTTTTTTTTTTTAGACAGACGGGTCATATAACTGTTAGGCTCCATTAATTTCCCATTTTCGGCATCATGTTGGGGATCAAATTTTCCCATTAACATCCATCATTGTTTTGTCGCTTTCAGAGATATCAAGGGTTTGCAGGGCTGCTGTCGGAGATCGTGTAAATAAGGGGGTAAGTGCAGCGTTGGGTTTGAGGTTTGCACAACGGATCAACATCATGGCACACGGGTAGTTACCCATAAGTGCTGCGTTTTTTCTTCTAACTCAAGTCTGAGTGCGAAGAAGCTCAGCACAGTGCACAGGCTCTGCAGCACCGGCGAGGATCCTGAAATACTTTGGGCAGGTTTTTAACTCCAAATTGTTGACCGGGCAGCGCTGTTAGGCTACTATTTTCGATTTCCAACTGCCAAGGGATTATTTTTACGTGCGCAACGATGCACACGGGCGTCCGATCTCACTTATCAGAGACCAGGGGGAATTACTAGAAGTCCAAGTCAACGTGGGGAAAAAACCCAGCCATTACCGGGGATTGAACCCGGAACATCTAGCACTCGAGGCGGACACAAGGCCTAGACCACGCAGCCCGCCCCCCCCCCCCCTCACTCTACCGTTGGGTGATATCTCTAAAAACAGTGGCGTTGTGAAAACACTCAATTATGTAACCAATCGTGGTGTTAACTCAAAACTGGTGATATTAACATGTGTGATTGTAGGGGCGATATCAACATGGGTCAAATCACAACGAGTGAAATTAACATACATGATATTATCACGGATGCTATCAACAAGGTTGATATTAACACTGGTGATATCAACATGGGTGATATCAACATGGGTATATCAACATGGGTGATATCAACATAGGAGATATCAAAATGGGTTATATCAATATGGGTTATATTAAAATGGGTGAAATTAACACAGGATAGATCAACACGTGTGGTATCAACACAGGTGATACGAAAATATGTGATACAAACACAGGCGATACTAAAATGAGTGACACCAGTAGTATATGCCGCTAATAATGCATATTATTTGAGGGTTGGGGAATGAAGATTTTGAGGAATGAGGAATGAAGATTCATGGTTGAGGAATCAGGAATGAACATTCCTCAACCAGAAATCTTTATTTCTCATTCCTCAACCAGGAATCTTCATTCCTCATTCCTCAACCAGAAATTTTAATTTCTCATTCCTCAACCAGAAATATTCATTTCTCATTCCTCAACCAGAAATCTTCATTCCTCATTCCTCAACCAGAAATCTTCATTCCTCATTCCTCAACCAGGAATCTTCATTCCTCATTCCTCAACCAGAAATCTTCAATTCTCATTCCTCAACCAGAAATCTTCATTTCTCATTCCTCAACCAGAAATCTTCATTTCTCATTCCTCAACCAGGAATCTTCATTCATTATTCCTCAAGATCTTCATTCCTCAACCCTCAAATAATTTGCATTATTAGCGGCATATACTAGTGATACCAACATAAACTCAGAAGTAAAAACGAACTAAGTGTGCAAAACCAGTAGGAAGATTCAAATGATTCTTTAAATTTAGAAAAACAATGTGAAAGTCCTTTTCTAAGACTTGAAACGTATTTTTTAAAAAATGATGCTTTCCCATATTTTAACAGATTCATCGGCTCTCAACGGTTGATGTGGTCAGTATCACGCTGGCACAGTCTGCCTTACATAAATAAATATCTGGGGAACCCTTGAGGGCCAAGGAGACAATATGATAAACAAATTAATATGTATTGATTCAGTCATCATCATCATCAGTTATCTTTATGCCTAGTGGCACATGAGGCTTCAGAGAGGGCTTTCCATGCTTTCGTGTCCTGTGCAATCTTCAGTGCAGTTTTCCCATGTCAGAGATGCCGCACTCGGGTCACTATTCATCGTTCGTCTCCATGTTGTTTTTGGGCGCCCTATTTTTCTCGTTCCCTCTGGTATCCACGTGACAGCTGTTTTTGGCAGGTATATCAGGATTTATTCTCATAAAGTGGCCAAGCCATTTCAATTTTCTCTTGGTTATCATACTGTTTAGGGTTTCTTGGTTTGTGATTGGCACACCAGAAATGATAATTAGTATCCAGGGATATAAGATGTCACGCTGCAGGAGCAACTAGAAGAGATAACATCAGGAATGAGGTGTAAGAAAAAACGTCAGCCCAAAACTAATTCTAAATTACATAAACAAGGCAATTATCAAATGATCTGCCTCTAAGACAGCACTGTAACGTCATACCATACAAGGAATACACCAGCAGTCTGCATTCAAATAAGCCAGATCTGTAAAACTAGTGGGCACGTAAAATTCAAGTTCTGGGAGAAGACCAAAGTCCAGAATTGGATGAAGAACCAGAACTTTCCACCACAGTTTACAGCCGGAGAACACGAAGAAGGGAGATGACAGACCAACAAGGGAGATCCCAGACACGCGCCCAATAACCTTTTATCCGCCTTTTAAAACCGATTGTATTCCTCAACCAGGCCCCACCCTGAACCCCCCCCCCCTCCCCACCCACACACACACAGACACACACAAACTAACCACAATAACATACCGCGTCCTAAATCCTCCGACAGATGATCGAAAGTTCAGGAACTTCCCCAGCGCATTTGCTCGCTCAAGAGCGCTCATTAATTCGGAAGCAATATATTTTCTCCCATTAATGCGTTCACAAACGAGACATCCGTAGTCTCCCAAAGAGACAGATGGACGAAGACTGAGGAAAGGCGGCGTCGGTGTTAAAGTTTAAAAGTATAGACGCATTGTTTTCATAGCCGTTTGAACTCCTTTTCCAGTATTTTCGACAAGTGCTGTCTTTACCACTCCAAATTTCCTTCGCCGTACGTTGGTCCTTTGTGTCAGCACTTACGAGGGCGGTTGGTGAATGTGTTGTGATTTACATGTAGGTTGTGGTTTACAGCTAGGTTATGATTTATAGCTAGGTTGTAATTTACAGCTAGGTTGTGATTTAAAGCTAAGTTGTGATTTACAGCTAGGTTGCGAAATGTAGGCATTTCGATCCAATACAGTCGATGTTAGGCAAACGTTTTCCAATACGCTTGTTAAGACGCAGTTAGTTTATTCTCCCCCCCCCCCCCCCCCCCCATATGGAGCATAGAAACCCACACGGTAGCTAGCAGTGTATTTTTTCTTCTGCTGCTTCTACATCTACACCTTCTTCTGTATATGAGTAGCGGCATCTCCCCCCACCCCACCCCACGTTTTCAAATGATGCCTTGGAACCCACACCGAGTTATATGTCTACGAAAGCAGAGTCAGAAAAAATTCCCCATGTGGGTTGCGGGGCCTCATTGGGAGGAGGGGGCCTTCTAAGCATGGTATCTGCCTCGAGTGCTGGAGATTCCGGGTTTAATCCGCGGTAAGGGCTGGGATTTTTTCACGTCAACTTAGACTTCTAGTAACTCCCGCTGGTCTCTGGGTAGTAAGATCGGACGCCCGTGTGCATTGTTGCGCACGTAAAAATTCCCTTGGCAGATGCAAATCGAAAAGAGTGGCCTGAGGAAAATTTGAAGTTAAACATCTCCCCAAAGTATTTCAGGATCCTCGCCGGTGCTACAGAGTCTCTGCACTGTGCTGAGCTTCTTCGCACGACTTGAGTTAGAAGAAGAACGGAGCACTTGTGGGTTACTTCCCGTGTGCCATGATGTTGGTCCGTTGTTCAAACTTCAAACAAAATAATACAACGGCAGCACACTACTCACCTGCAGTACATTGACACTGGAATTCTTGTCGTCCTCTGCTACCCACACCGTAAACAACGATGCAACATTCCAGAGGTGTACATCCTCCAACATCTTATTGAGGTTCCACCTGCTGTCAATCTCCCAGCCATGGTCCCAGGCACTGATGTTGATGCCCCATCCGAGCCCATCGATCAGATCCAGCAGAGGTTTGGGCCCAGCCTTCTCTATCAGCTTGTCTTCGTCCATACAGGACTGAAAGTATTTCTTTGCCTTCAGCTGAGCTGTGCTGGTGAAAGACGAATCCGGTTTGTCTGCAGAAATTGTCCAAGAGACGTTAGAAGTCAAACCGCTGGAAAATATCACACTAACAATTTTATATATAATAAAGACAAAAGCACTTTTGATTTTGTTTCGTTTTTGTTTTAGAGACACCTCAACGTACAGAAAAAGGTTAAAGGTTAAAGTCGAGATGATTTACTTCACTGCACCGGGTTTTATCCCATATGGCTTCGTCTCTGTCCGCAGAATGGCTAGCCGCCTGCCGAGAGCACCGCAGAGAAAACGAACTCTGTAGCTCTGGCGACGATCCCCAGGGCATCTCCCTGAAAACTGCGAAAGTGGTATCGAGAGCCGACCGTCCAATGGTAAACTACAGGACTTAGAATAGCGGTTCTCAACCTATGGGTCGTGACCCCCTTTTTTTGGCGGGGGGGGGGGGTAGGACGACCCTCTCACAGGAGTCGCCAAAGACGATCGCAAAACATACATTTACTGAAATTATGAAGTAGCAACAAAAATAATTGTTTTGGGGGTCGCCAAAATATGAGGGACTGTGTTAAAGGGTGGCGGTATTGGGTACAGAACCACTGCCTTAGAAAAAGCACAACAGCCAAAACATGCTGGAGCTGGTTCTGCAACGTCCTGTAAAGGATACGCAATTAACTTTTTAACTGTAACTTCTTTGGAGGCTGAACAGTTTATCTAGAATTTGCCATGTTGGCCTGCCATCCAGAATGACATTTTGTAATCTCATGATCGTACGGTAAAGCTTAAGCTTGCAGGCCGGAGGGGGCTAATCGACTAACATATCAAATAGTGTATCACTGTTCGTTTGTGTTATTTGCTGATGAATGCTTTCTATCCGCAACTTTTATTTGTCGTTTGTGATAATTTGCTGCTTAGTAGTTCTACTTCCTCTCTGGACGGATATCTTTTCATGGCTCTCCTTTCTGTTATTTTCCAAAGTACACTGGAACCTCAGAAGATACGAGTTTTTCAGGATATAAGTGCACCTGGATACGAGTTTTTCCAGGATACAAGTACACCTGGATACGAGTTTTTCAGGATAAAAATACACGTAGATACGAGTTTTTCAGGATACAAGTACACGTGGATACGAGTTTTTCAGGATACAAGTACACGTAGATACGAGTTTTTCAGGATACAAGTGCACGTGGATACGAGCTGTTCAGGATACAAGTGTACCTGAATACGAGCTGTTCAGGATACAAGTGCACCTGAATACGAGCTTTTCGGGAAGATTAGGCTAGCCGATTTTTTTTTTAACACCTCAAAACAAGTAAAATTATTTACATTAATTTTGATGCGTAAAACAGTTTCAGGATACGAGCTATTTCGCTATATCAGCTCAGTCATGGAATGGATTAGACTGGCATCCTGAGATTCGTTTCTTTTTTTTTTTTTTTTTACAGGATTAAATGCAAGAGGACTGCCTTCACTGTCCTGTGTTTTATGCCATATGGCTCAGGAATCCTCTCCAGACAGTTGGTCACCCATCTAAAAGGTTAGTTGCGTATCCTTTACAGGACGTTGCAGAACCAGCCCCAACAGCCCCTGGCTGTTGTGTGGTTTTTCTAGGCAAATTTACGTTCAGTAGTTTGCCAGTGCTTTATGGGCGGTCGGTTTTATTGATACCACTGTCAAACCCAACGCAAGGCGCATGGCCCGCAGCTGGGATCGAACCCGGCATCCCGGCATTACGAAGTGTTCGCATCGACTTAGCCACAGAGCCGACTCACTGATCTAAACACTGCAAAAATCCAAAGCCAGAAAGCTCCAGCAATGATCCCCACGGATCACTAGCAACTGCACTCAAAAACTGAAGGACCTAGGCTGAAATCAAATCCACAACCTTCACGAGGCGAACGGCCTCATATGCAGTGTTGCCACTTCGGATGTTTTACATCCAGATTTAGATGTTTTTCCTTGCATTTAGATGGCGTCTTTGACGTTTAGATGGTGGATGTTTTTCTAGATGTTTATCATTCGGAGTGAATGTATCAAATCTAACCTAAAAAACTGGATGAAGTTTGACCTCTTAAATGCTATCTTGACAATACAATTTTGTCTGATAAAAGTAGGAAAAGGCTGTTCCACTTATCAGCTCCCTGATTGTGTATTAAAAATATGTTGGCAATTTTAATTGGCTCTAATATCTTCTACGCTTCGTAATGCCGGGGTGCTGGGTTCGATCCCAGCTGCGGGCCATGCGCCTTGCGTTGGTTTCGACAGTGGTATCAGGGGGGCCGACCATCCAGATAGCAATGGCGAACTACTGGAGGTAAATTTGCCTAGAAAAACCACACAACAGCCAGGAGCTGTTGGGGTTGGTTCTGCAACGTCATGCAAAGGATAGGCAACTAACTAACCTGGTAGGGTTGGGTATTTGGATGTTCTGACAAGAAGCGCAGAAGATATTAGGTTAATTGCCTATCCTTTACAGGACGTTGCAAAACCAACCCCAACAGCTCCTGGCTGTTGTGTGGTTTTTCTAGGCAAATTTACCTCCAGTAGTTTGCCATACCCAACCCTACCCTGAACAGAATTCCAGTGCCCAAACTACGAGTTTTCATCCAACTAACTTTTCCAGGTGATGACGTCATACATCCCTCAGGACCCATTAAAAACAGCTGTTGGCTAAACATTCTTTTCAACTGTTCTAGTAATGAGGTACAAGACCACTCCTATCCCAAACCCACCTATTAGGCTGCTCGTGTCTGCGTAAACCAAATCCAATTATATTTATCAATTTACATGTAAGTGCCAGTTGAAATACTGCTTTATTTTCAAAAACAAACCAAATTCTAGTTCTAACAGTTTTACTAACGTATATATTTATTCCAAGGACGCTGATTTCAACAGCTCCGGTATAAAATCATCAATACGGAGCTAAGAGAAAGAAAGAAATACATTCAAACTGATCAGGTGACGGAGAAAACAAGCTGAGCTACCAATTAGGGCATACTCTGTGGGGAAAATAAATGTAAAGCATTACTACGACGTCGACTTTGGAGCCCCTGGCTATAAGTTAGTTGTGTTAGTCTTTCCTCTTGAGGATAGGGCATCGCATAGGGCAGTGATTCCCAAACTGTGCGCTGCGGCGCACAGGGGAGCCGCGACTTCTTCACAGGGGCGCCGCGAAATATTCGAAGATACACATGTTTTATTTATCTCTTACATACGAATAGTCATACTTTTACTTAGGTTAGGGCGCCGTGAAAAATTTTAACTGATGAAAGGCGCCGCGACTAAGAAAAGTTTTCTTATAAAATTGGATACATTATCTTGCTTGGTCTATTTTAATTAAGTAGAGACAAACAACGGCAATGGTTGGTGGCTCTACAGAATTCACGGCTGACAAGGATTAGTTTCATATTCGTGCCAGGACATGTGGGGGTACAAGGAAATGGGCAAGCTGATACGCTTGCAGGTACCGTGAAAGCCAGACAAGCCATGGACCAGGCTTATATACTAAAAGCTCTGAGAGAGTTAAGACGTTTGCGTAAATTAACTGAGAACTGTGAATCTGCAACCATGGTCAGACTGCAAGAACAACATGTTAAACGGGGTGTCGCTAAGCAAGAACACTACGCGGGTAGTCAAAGAAGAAGAATAAACCAACATAGAACGCGCTGAGAAGAAGAATAAACCAACATAGAACGCGCTGAGGGATTTACTGAGGAGGGAAACCGAGCACTTATGGACTGAGTGGTTCGACGTGTAATGAGGATAATTTGTCGACTAACTAACTAACTAACTAGCTAAACTAACTAACTAGAGACACACACAAAACACACACAAAACGCATGAAGAGGAAAATTATAGATAGAGAAAGATGCTATAAGAGATAGCTATACATGTTTAGGTATGAAATGATTGGTGTTCTTCTTCTTCTCCTCCTTTTTTTCCTTCTTTTTCTGCTTCTTCTTTTTCTTCTCCTCCTCCTTCCCACCCCCCCCCCCCCCTCTTTTTCTTCTTCTTCTTCTTTTTTTTCTCCACCTCCTCCTCCTTCTTCTTCTTCTTCTCCTTCTTCTTCTTCTCCTCCTCCTCCTCCTTCTTCTTCCTGTTCATCAACAGTAAACCCCGGCAGAAAGTCGTGGCTGTTCGTACACTTCTGGACTGTGGTCTTGTTTCAGGACTTGAGTTTTGTACGCACATTTGTTTTACAGATCTGGCCTACATGGTAAACGATATACAAGAGGTAACAGTCAAACACACCGAAGCAGCTAATTGAACTCACCTATGGCGTTTCGCATCACCAGCATATTCTTCTGCCACATTAGCTCAAAAGTGCCCCAACGAGAGTGGCCCGAAGGAATGGGGTTGTTCTTCATCCAGCCCCCACAAGCGTATTCGTAGAAGTCCTCACACGGGTCCACGGTTCTGTCCATAGAGGTCAGGAGGGTGCTTGCAATGTTCACACATTCTGGTGTTAAGCAGAACCCTGCACAAATGGAAATGATCTCAAGTAAGTAAAGTAAAGATCCCTTTTCACGCCTTTCGGCGCATCGGGCATATGGGCAGAGCGTCCCATATTTTTACAGACCATCAGCACTCTGTGGGTAATGTGGTCAGCATTACGCCGGCTGTCTTTACTTTCCCAGGACAGCCCATCCCGGTACCCATTTTAGGCTGGGTCGACCTGCGACGTCCCATTCCACGACAAAAATTCATGCAGCCTGCAGTGGGTTTCGATCGCGGTATGCTGGCTAACGAGTCGGACTCGCAACGCCTTAGCCAAGTACATATTGCTAAAGTAAATAATCGCATAAGTGTTAGTGTTTCTCCCCTCCACCCCACCCCCATTTCTTTCTTCTCATCACTTTCTTCTTTCTTTCTGTTTTTCTTTCTCTCTTTCTTTCTCTTTCGTTCCATGGAGGTCTCCATGGTGAAATGGTTAAGTGGAAGTTCGTGCTTTGTGCTCTCTCGGCCGACGGTTAGCCGTTCAGTGGAGAGAGGCAGTGTCATAAAGGATAAAACCCGGCGCAATGAAGTCGATCCTCTCGATTTTAATGTATTTTTCATCCCTTCTTTATTTATTTTATGTAGCCGACTGTATTTTTCCTAGCATCCCTTCAGACTGGGCAGACTTGGAAACTCAGGTCAATTCTTTAACAATAATCCGTCAGTGGGAGTCACCGTGGGCTAGCGGCTAGACGTTCGCCTGTGAATCGGAAGGTCGTGGCTTTGGGAGTCCTGACGCAGGCGGACGGGGGTGGGGGGGGGGGGGCGTTAGCGCAGTTGATAAGAAGCTCGCTTTCAAATCCAGCTGCGACTCGCAGCAGCCCATGCTCGGTGTTCAAAACCGGGCGGCTCACGGGGTTCACCCAGCCTCTAGGAAATGGGTACCAGAATGATACTCTCTGGTAAACGGAGGAACGTCGCTGTAGCTACAGAGTTACGTGCGAACGGCGACACAGGCGGACAATTCTTATCAACTGTCCGTACTGGTGTCAGAGCACTTATGGTTTATAACCGTGTGCAATGACGCTGGTTCACATCTCCCGACTTTACCTTTACGCAGGCGGATATTTTGTGTGTGTTTTTTTTTTTTCAAAATTGATGTTGGCTCTCCCAGGTCGACCCTGCCTTGAGTGGGTACCATGTGCAGTCCTGAGAAGAAAGGGTGGCCAGCGTGATGCTGACCACATCACCCACCGAGTTGCCTATAAAATACAGGACTAGCCCTATGTGCCAAGTACGCCTAACAGTCCTGGACGGGGAGGAGCCCTTTACTAATCCGTCAAAATATGGAATCTAACGCAAGACTTGGGTTATGAGTTGGGTTATTTTCACGGTACTCTGGTCACGTCAATTTGCTGCTTAGATTCCCCCTTTAGTATATGTGTAGTGAGTCATTTTCTCCTCATTAATTTATGCCCGATAGATGACGTCAGTAATAGATGTAAGACGAATGTTTTGACTGGCTGAGATAACACGAGATTTATGTCTTGAGTTTCATGAGAGACATCTGAAAGTCAGGTTTTATGTGAAACATGATTGTTCACAGGATTTGTGTGAAATGTGAATTATCACGGGCCAGACACGACTTTCAACAGTGGGAAATTCGTGAGAATGAATCTAGAATATTCTAGAACAGGTTAGATCAGAGGGCTATATAATAGCGAAGAAAAGGTTTGTGAGCAGTCTCGTTTTGGACCTAGGAACAGTGTGCATGGACAGCGGTGGATGATGTGTGGATTCAGCAGATGTTTTGTGAGTGAATTTGTTCCGGTCCAACTTGGCGAAAAAAGCTGGCCAGTAATATGTCTGCGGGTCGTCTGAGTTTGTCTGTCAGGACAGCTGCTGTGTTTCGTTCAAGATGTTAGTGTGATTGTGATTTCTGCTTGAAGGTAATAGTTGACACTTGCATTATAATGTGTGCCTGGACAGTTGTCTAGGTCATGTGCCGGCAGTGTAAGCCGCGAGTGGAAGATTAAAGTACTGGAACAGTATCGTGTTGTTTTTCCAGTCGTCCATTTTTTCTGCTCGTCGAGTGATGTCGGTTTGTGAGATGGCAGCGAGCGTGCGATGAGGCGAGCCAGTAGAAGATAAAAGAGAATCATCGCAAGATGGGGAACTCGTCCAAACATTTGAGGATAGGAAAGTTGTGTCGTACAGAAAAATCTGAGACATCGAAAGGTGTTTAGTTATTAACCTGACGTCAGGTAGTACCAGTTCAACATACGAACGTAAGCGGGGAAGATCGATGGCGAAATAACAACAACCCATATTCGATAGTTCACAGATTGAACAACGTTCGGACAAATTCCAGGCTTTGAATACTGATAGACAAGTCCACGTTTTAAGTTTCGACCAAGTAATCAACAATCAACTAAGATGCGAAGGAAAGATTGCAGACAGTGACAGTGTCAAATAGCATTCATTAATGGTAGCAAAGGAATACAACCGTAAGTCTACACAGAGATGATGTGAGACTAGGGCTGCCCCTCTGCAAAACTTCCGAAGCCTTGTTGTTTGATCAAATTTCGCTGCCGACTAAAGTGTGGTAAAGTGTAGTGGGAAATCTACACTGAACAACACAGAGAAGCGTCGACACCAGATCCTGTTTTTCGGATCTGTTTTTCAAAACATAGAAAGACAGTGAAACACCGGGTAGAGTGTTAACTGTATAGAAATCAAAAAGAACCACAGCTCTGACACTGGGTATTTGTGTCGCAGCTCTACATTTTCAGCCGTGGCAAACCATTTAATAGGAAAACTACAGTATGACAAGTCTACAAAACCTCAAGATCAGCACTCATTGATGTCTCGTGATCAATAATGCTTCAAGTTCATCGTGTAATCACACATATCACAAGAAAGCGATAACAATAAAGCTTTCCTACGTCCTAAACACATTCAGTCGGCAGGAAAAGCATAAAATTGGTCGGTGCAAATCTAAGTACTATTGAAGTGTGTAGCTAGCAGTGAACTATTTGTCTACAATTAACAATGTACTATTGGAGTGTGTAGCTAGCAGTGAACTATGTTAGTGTATACAGTTAACAAGGTACTATTGAAGTGTGTAGCTACCAGTTGAACTACTCAATGATAAATATCCAGTTTATGAAACCTATAGTACAGTGAGCAGTACCACAAACAGTATACAGTTTCTGTAATAAATGCTTCACTGAACAATTCCTTAATTAGTGTGCATTCAATGCTAAAATTACTAGTGTGAACAGATAAACTGTGCGGTCTTAATTAGTTTCAGTGCCCAGTTAATGAAATTATTAATATGGTGTGTTAATTTCAATTAACCATATCAAATTATCATTTCTTTAGTATTTAAAAGTAGCAATAGCATATTCAACGGACAAGCTTCAACGAAACAACCTTCAAGAAAGCAACAGCCATCGCAGAATCAGCTTCAGGTCGACTTCAGGACAGTCAACTAGATCAGCACAACAATATACATTGATTATTAATTTTATTTTGATTTATTTTTCTGGTGATTCAGTTATTTATTATAATTATCAATATTATTTATTTATAATTTACATTGGTGCAGTCATTGACATTTATTTTATTTATTTATAATTTACATTGGTGCATTCATTGACATTTATTTTATTTATTTATAATTTACATTGGTGCATTCATTGACATTTATTTTATTTATTTATAATTTACATTGGTGCATTCATTGACATTTATTTTATTTATTTTATTATATCGGTGCATTCATTGACATCTACTTTATTTATTAATATTGTTACATTGGTGTTTTTGATATTATTTGTATTTTCCTACTATTCTTTACATTATTTCTTTTTATTTATAAATATTGGCAAATTGTATTGAAATTTTATATTTTTTTTATTATTTCTTCATTTACAAAGTTGTGGGTGTTATATTACACGGAAGTTCAGTACCACCATCATCAGGAAGTGCCATAATTAATCATATAAACATCATCAAGTATAATCACTGTAACAAAAGTATAGTTGTGGGTAATAGAAATTGTATTGTATACCAAAAATAATAAGTCAATCATTAGTTAATTGGCGAAGGATCATTGTAATATTATTTGGTGATACACTAATTGATTCAACACTATATCTTTATTTAATCTGTGTTGAATAGTATTATTGTTGATTTCTAATATAGACTGAAGGTATTGGGGGATAAGAATTATTTTTTTTTAGTTTCTGCATATATATTGTAACTGAGTTTTGCGTCATTGAAAGCGAACTTAATAAGCATCTTACTGAACAAGTGAATTTAGTAGTTATTACGTGAAATAATTTATTTGAGACTATTAGTGACTACTCTATCACAGTCGATTATCAAGACTAATTCAATCAAATATTTATTTTTTTAGAATAGTATTTAATTATACCCAGACTGTGCGGCCAATAAAGATAATTATTATTTTTTTTTTTTTTTTTTGGTGATTTCACAAGGTATAATCAGTTGAAACTTTATAACCAACTACTGTGCTACACAGGATTATTATAACATTATTACACATTTACAAATTAATTAGTTATTTCGTAAATACTTTGATAGTCCACTACATCTAATACTTTGATCATCCACTGCATCTACTCTAGTGCTATAACATTCTATTAGTTGATTAATAATCTTTATCAAATAATATATCATTTATTCTTGCTGTCATATCTAATTTCTCAAGTGTGCTTAAGTGATTTACTCTCCCATAAGCTAAACATATATTAGTTAACTCTTCTTCTCAAACATCAACTGTATATATATATATATATATATATATATATATATATATATATATATATATATATATATATATATATATATATATATATATATATATATATATATATATATATATATATATATATATATATATATATATATATATATATAGAATTATTTAGTAATAGACTTGGTGGTTGGAAGAGTTACATCCACTTTATTGCAAGGTTTGGTATTGATACCCAGTGACATTTAGTTATTAAT